TCAAGTAGACCCCCCTGGCCGACTCTCGGGTGATATGCGGAAACATATTCTCGTGAAAATTGTGAAGAGTGAATATTGCAAGAAGAAACACCCTTCTAGGCAGTGCCATGTGTGCGCAGAGCACAAGAAGAAGAGTAGAACTGCCTACATGTGCAACTTCTGCCTAATGCCTCTTCACAAAGGGGAATGTTTGCAGAGATATCACATATGCAAGCACTTCTAGGAGCTCTGGTAAGTGTTCTCCAAAAATTTCAGTTCATAAAATTAATTAGGAGATTTTATATTAATTTTTAAAGTGAACAGTGCATAAGTTAGGGTAGTAGGTTTAAAAATGCCGGTCCCCAGGGTGATTTAAATGTTTAAACCACCGGTCCGCAATGTGTTAAAAACGTTTTGGAGACTGGACTCTGCCTTCATCCTCAGGTAACATCCTATCGATAGAGCTCCAGTCTTCTAGATTTCTACACTTGTGATGGTACAAGCATCCTGAACTATGTAAATAACTGTCCCTCCTACCTCCTATAGATCTGATACTGAATGTAACTATGTGTGGCTTTAGTACTGAAAAGGTTTTGTATTTGAATCTGGAACAGGAGGCTGGCTATCCTGAGTTTTTCATATTTTTCTTCCGTTTCTCAAAGCAAGTGCTGAAATGGTATCAATATCTTTTTCTGCCAATCAGTAATTCTACTATTTGACTCTTATACAGCTGATGAAGTACCATTAAGGGAATGAAACAAACACAGCTTTGTGGGTCTGTTTGTGAAGGTTGCACATATACACATATATTTTTTCAGACATAAGAGTGAAGTCCCAGTGCTTGATTAATTAAGAACTACAACATGAAGATGTATGGAGTGGACAGCTTCATGCACAAACCACTTTAACCCCCAACCAGGGAAAGAGCCCCAGCACCCAATGGGCAGGAGGCTGAGTGGGCCTCAGAGTTGGTGTGGACATTGTGGAGAAAAGAAAAATCTTTTTCCCCTATAGGGAATCAAACCCCAGCTGTTCAGCCTGTAGCTGCTCTGGGTATCCAGCTCATGAGTGCTGCAAACTATTCAGACAATAATTTCCCTCATTCTTATGTCTCAGTTTGGAACAGTTTTGAGTGCTGTAACTTGGTAATGAAGCTAAATATAACATGCTACCTAAGTGACCACTCAAGCATGCATGCAAAAATACATGCGTCTCTGTGATGCAGTCTATGGCCTAATATTAAAAAAATACTGAATCATTTTGTATGTTTAAAGTACTGAAACACAAATTGTGCAAAACTATAATGTTATAGTGAGAATCCACAATAATGGAAATTATGGACAGAAATAAATCAGTCATATAACTACTCATTTATAATTCCTGCTGTCATGCCTGTACTAATGGAAGTGTTTGGAGCATAGTAGGTGTTGAGCAACCTTCCCAGAGCTATTACTTGTTTTGCAGGAAAGAGGCTGATTCTGACTTCATGAGCATTCTTATCAATGAGGTGGGAGATGAGGTAAGTACACAAGTTTCTTCTAAACAAAAGAGAATTTGCATTAAAGATAAAACAAACTCCGTGGCTTTAGTCCACAAGTGAACTATCCCGACCGAGCGATCTCTGCTTGCCGGCAAAGTTAGTGCCAACTTTAGTGGATAGAGGGTGTCGTGTGGTCAGGGCAACAAATCCCCATGGCTGTTAATTTTCGTTTTCTAGACCAGAGCTGCTACTTTTCCATTCAAGTAGCTCCTCAATTATCCTCACACGTCTGAGTGGACCCTGTTCCAGACCCACTACTTCTCAGAAAATCTGGTAGCGCCAGGAATCGAACCTAGGACCTCTGGATCTGTAGCCAAAACTCTGACCACTAGATCATAGAAGTTGTCAGAGAATTTGTATTATTAACATTAAACACCAGAATTGCTTCCTTCTTATCTGTTTGACAGATTACATACAATATAGAAAACAATTTCACCTGCAATTTTGTTTTGATGTGTAACACTGTTTTGCACTCCAAGGGAGGAACACGAATGGTGTTTGAGAACATGGTGCTGAGAATATCTGTACCTAAGAAAGATGAATAACACAGGAATGAAAAAAACTGCATAATGTACTCTTCATTTAATAATTTTAAGGTTTAAGTCAATAAAAATGAGATGGCTAGGACATGTGCCATCGGGGAAAAAGAAACATAATTCTGGTATAAAATATCAAGGAAAAGACAGCACTTGGATAACATAAGCACATTTGGGAGATCACAAATGAATTGTAGACAGACAGGTTGTTAGGGAAGAACTGAACTGAGTTTGCTCAAGTTAGGGCCAATCATAGCAGTGCTAATAGTAAATAAATTTGGGGCTATGTTTTTGGACATTATGACTGTGTTCTCTGTGGGGAGTCTATATAAGGAAGACCTGTTGTGTAGCTTAGATTAGTGAGGGGTCCAGGAGAGTTTTTAGTTGAGCTCTGAGGTCCTAGGGTTTTGAATGGCTAGAAAACTTCCTAGTGATCTGAAGTGCTAATTTCTGTGTTCAGATACATTGCCAGGAGACGACTAGTGAAGAATTACAATTCTAGTATGTGTGTGTGTGTGTGTGTACATCATCAGTAGCGCTGTATTTAAGTGTGACTAAGAGAACTTTTAACCAAGGTGCACATAAATCCAATCATCTGAACTTGAACCCATTATTTGTCACATAACATTTTGGCTTCAGAAGTTGGCCTTTCGGATCATACTGAATTCTTCAGCAGTGGTTATGACCATAAATATATGTCAATTTGGGGTCAGTAGTCACACAGCCAAAAACCCGTGACAATTGGAAACCATGGAAGAAGTTATATTGCACTGGACAGAAGACTGAATTGGGTAGTCATACCACAAAAATGGAACAAATGAGGCAACAAATAAAGGAAATACTGGCTGCGTGGGCACTCTACACACAAGTGGAACCACTATGGGCCTGCCTGCGGACCGAAATGGAAGAGGACCTAAAAGCCAGGCAAGACGAATTAGATGCCAATAATGCACAGATACATGCCAACCAAGAAAAAAGGAGGGCGGACATGAAAGCCTTTAATGAAATGATGAAGAGAAGGGAGGCTGAAAGAAAAACTTACCCATGAGATGATGATGGCAGAGTGGGAAGCCGACAGAAAAAAAAGCCAACTTTGAAAAGTGGAAGGCTGAATGGAAAGCTGACAAGAAGTGGCAGCGAGGCTGGAAGCCATTCACTGCAAGAAAGACACCAAACAGATGAGATTGGAACCCAAAATGGAACATCAAGAGAAGAAAGGATGGCCTGCCAAGAAGCAATGGAGGCCAATCTAGAGAAGATGGAGCCAACTGATTGCACGATAGTGATCTTGGAACACAATAGCCATGACGAAACCTAATCGAGGAAAGATGGAAGCCATGGATTTGAAGGCAAATCCAGAAGAATGAGTCAGAGCATTGGAAGGCTCATAAGGATGATGCCATAGTGAAACCGGTCAAAGGACAGAAGCAGCAGCATAGGAGCCGGAAGCTAGCTGTAGGGTGACATGGAGAGCCAAAAGAAGAGCCTGAGGGGATTGTGGATCCTGGAAGTTGGCTGCTGCCTGCAGGAAGGTGTTCCACCATGCAAGAGTGGCATCTTCAGCCAAATTCGGACCCAGGGGAATTGTGAACCATGGAAGGAATTGGCCACAGCCAGCAGGAGGCACGATCACAAGAGATATGACCAGGACAGTGTGGCATAAGAAACCTTGAAATGATGGATGTTCGGGAAGAGATGGTGGAAGGGCCTGGAATGCAACAGTGACGTAAGGGACAGGCCTGAGAGAGCAGCTATGAAGCAGCAAGCGAATAAAGAACCAAGGGCACAAGATGGCAACTGCATCTTAAGATTGAGGCAACATCACGGGAGTTTGGCAGGAAGGCTTTCGGACTGGAGTTCGTGAACAACCAGGATGGCCAGTGGGTTGTGGAAAATGAACTGAACCTTGTGGAGGGGTCAACCCCCTCCAAAATATAAGAAAAACCTACTAGAAACATTAGTGTAAGAATAATCGGATGTGTGGGAGCACCATCCACTCCAGGAGTTATGGCCCAAAGTGGGCAAGAAAAAACCTTTGGATGGTGAGAACCTGGACTAACTGGAGCCTTACAAGGGAACCACCCAGGACGAGCTCGTACAGTGGTAGCGGTTAGAGAGCAGCCACTGCAGAGAGAGAACAACTTGCAGGAAGACGTTGGAAGCACAGCCCCCGGAAAGGAAAGTAAGGTGATACATCATTAGAGCTTTTGGGATGGAACAGCCTTAAGGTGGGAGCAACATAACAGATTTTATCAAAGAGTTTCTAGATAACAGCTTGGTAAACACGTTCCAACGTACAACAATGGAAGCTGTGTCTCAGTGGACAAATGTTATTGCTCATTGCTGGGCAACAGTCAGCACACCAACAAAGTCACTGGCTAGGAATCACATGACTGTGTTGTCTGTGCAGAGCCCATGTAATGAAGACCCGCTGTAGCTTAGATTGGTGAGGGGTCCAGGAGAGTTTCTAGTTGAGTTCTGAGGTTCCGGGGTGAGAACACTTCCTAGTGATTTGAACTGCTAATTTCTGTGTTGAGATACGCTGCCAGGAGACAGCTAGTGAAGAAGAAGACGGACAGTCCTAGTGGGTGTGCAACGATAGCTATAGCATTGTATTTAAGTGTGATTAAGAGCACTTGTTACCAAGGTGTTAATAAATCCAAACTAGAACCCGTTATTTTTGTAACATGTATCCCCCTACACGTGCGAGTATTTAAACATTTTTAATTAAAGCACTCATTTTTACTTTAACTTGCATAGTTCTTATTGTAGTTTTGTCTGTAAAGAATTCTCTTATTGCTTTTAAATGTAAAAATGTTTATGAAACACATGTAGCTTACACAAAACAAAGATCCCAATATGCTTCAACATCATCAGTTGCTATGAATTCAGTTCAGTTTGTTTTATTCCATCAGAGTGTGCTGCTGTTCCTGACTGTGGGGGATGATAAGGGTGGTCATATGGTGCTATATGGTGAACCAGCTACAGTGGCACAGCTGGGACCCCAGTGAGTACCATGGTTAAGTGACTCCTAAACTGTTCCTTGGAGCCAAAAGGTTCCATTAAGATATTTCCAGGAGTTCTGGAGATTTCATTACAATCACTTCACTAAAAGTTACATGCTATTAAATTTTTAAATCTAAAGGTTTGTTTTGCCAGAAGCAGTAGCTGCGAAACACATGGTCCACACACAGTCTGTACCATAAAGTAGTATCATTACAGAAGCATGCTAATTACTGGAAACTGACAAAACCAGAGCTGGTTTTGACCTCCTAAGGAAAACTGAATACTCAGAATCATACTGTCCGAGCTTTGTATATCTTCACAAGTGCCAATAGCAGTGGCACATAAATCAGGTTGTTTCCTTTCTTATATGATATTCAAAATTCTCACGGTGGCAAGTACTCATACTTAGATCACAGGCCATCATCCATTTACTCACTCGTAACTACTGCTGAAAACCCATACTCTGTTCTGTATCCTTACACCTGGCTCTTCGTTTTGGTGTCTAGATTCTGTCAGTATGGTTCTGCAAGCAAAGTGTTTTGGGAAAGACTGCCACAGGTGTTCACTGCAGGATTTATCCTCTGTAATGAGAATACTGGTACCTAATGCAAGATGAATATTTGGCACTCCAGCTTCATAGTCTCCCGGTACCTTCTGAATACAAAGGACAGCTGGCTGCTATATGAAAATCTGTTGTGTTTACTGTGTATATTTGTTGCTAAACTCTTTTTCTTGGACAACTTATTCTTTTAACCTTGAAAGAAAATGATGAAAAGAGTGGGTGCTGACTTGACCCCCACCAAAAAATAAATAACTCAGAGAGAGAAGCTGCTTAGGAAGACCCATAAAAAGGACGATTCAGTTTGTGTTGATAATAATAATAAGCCATCTGAGGCAAATACTGTGAATGTGAAGGTAAATGGCAAAGTACAATGAGGCTCATCATGATATGTGATAGCAGGAAGTAACTTGCAACAGACTGTTTCTGGAAATGAAGTTCTTCAGTAAAGTCTTAACCAGTTCTGAGTTCTCATGTTCTGCATGTTTCAGGGTGTGTGCACTACTGAATGGGAAAGGAGCAGCAAAAGGACCAAAGTTCCAAGCTAAGATTTCCAATCTTGCCAATCGTGTGAAGGCTGAGGAATTAATAAAACAATATGTTACATGTACCACCAGTGGCTGCTGAAGTCACAGCATGGCCACTACTATGTACCACATTGTAGATCAGCAGTATTCACAGACCAGACAACACTGTGTAGCTTAGTATCTTGATGGTCACAGTCTTACACCTTGTAGTAGTAGGAGAAAGCCACTATAGCACAATAAAGAAAAAGGCACACAACATCCATTTACCAACTGTGATCTCAATGGCACAGGTTAGGGGAGGAATTTAACTTCCTTAATTGCAGCAGAAAACTCGTATTTATTCAGGTAAAACTATTTTCTACCAATTCTAAACATTCAGCTACATTTACTATACAGGTCTGACAAGATGACTGAATGATATGCAAGGACCTATTTTAAGGCATTGCAGAATCTACATGTAGTGACAGGAAAATGACAGAAACCTTCACCATAGTCAGTTCTCAAGATGTCAAACCCAGAACATACTGAAATTAAAGTAGGCATGCCACCACTTGCCCATGAAGTTTAACCTTTAATATACAAATGTTAAGATATATCTAACAGCGAGTAACATTCCGGTGTGGTCAGATATTAAATTTATCTAATGCAGCAGCACACATGCTCCCTTTGGGAGTGCGACAGTTTGATCTTCAGGCTGAAACCACAACAAACCCATGCAAGGTCAAGTCAGTGGTTCATTCATTAGCTCTGAACAATGAAATCATTTATCATGGTACTGGTTTCGATATGGCTGTTTATGACTGGGTCAGCCAAATAGAGCATTGCTTTGTTTTGAGAACTGAGAAGTAAATATTCATCTGAACATGCAAGGAAGTGGGTCATTTCAAGCATGTTTTCAGAAGCGAATTATCAGTCACAAAGTCAGTGTCAGATTGTCAATTATTTATTTATAAAACATTTTTATTTTGTGTCTCGGTAGAGGTATTAAGCCATTGAAGATGCACATATGGCCTTTGTGGATAAATCTGACAGGTTGGTAAATACCTTTGGAATTGCCTGAGGACATGGAAATCGGCAAATTGTTTTTTCACCTTCTAGACACGAATATCCTCAATGCCTATTTACTGCATAAGTCATGTGGTGGAAAAATGACACACAAAATATTCCGCAAAATCCTAGTGCAAGATTTGATTGTATAGTCACACAAGGTGAATATCACGGTCAGTGCCATTTCTCAGGGAGGCTAAGTTCATCCAGGGCCCAACTGAGTCAACTAGAGGCGAAAAATTCGCAACACTGGCCATCCAAAGGGAAACAAAGACGTCATGTGTGTTCTCTAAATAAGAAAACCAGGAGCACCCTCTTCTGTTGTAAAATGCGTGATGTTGATCTGTGTGTTGAGGACTGGGAGCACTTAATGGAGTTATCATAAACTGTAGTGACGCAGTTTATACTCTTGTACATTCTGAACAAAGGATTATTGTATATAGTGTGATTATTTTTTACAAACTCAACATGTCTGAAGTTTCGAGAAAACTATGGGTAAGCCCTTTGGAATTTAATAATATAATAAAGACGATATTTTGCTGCATTTTTGACAAAATAGACAGAATATATTTTCATTTGTAAAAATTGTGCTTTTGTGCATATGTAGAAAATGTTATTGTTTTTAAGGCTGTTTTAGTTCGTATTTCTATACTGCTTAGAACAGAAAATATGTAGTTTTTTCTGAAAGTCTTCAACTTTAAAGACTTAGGGTGATTTAAATTCCAGCCACAGCAGGTTCCCGACAATTTAAAAGTCTGCATATCTTAGGACACACAGGGTTGCTACCCTGGAGCTTCTGAAAGTACACAGATGATTCAAACAAGAGTTCACCAAAAAATTCAGAGTAAAAATATGGCTCACAATGTCATGACGATTTTTATGCCATTTGTGAAAGTGTGTACACAACATATGATGAAAATAAATTATTCTCAGTTCTACTACATTGCATCCACATAAAGTGTAAAAGAAATCTAAAATACAGGATTAATATAAAAGAAATAGAAAGCGAAGTATTGTTGATATAGCCAAAATACTGCATGTTTTTTCAGTATGTCTTTAAGCTTGTATGACCAAGTTACAAATGTCCTGTGTGTGTGAGCCTTTTGTCACACGACAGATATCAATACAATAATCCAATTTGTTCCAAACACACCGGAGCATGTCCTCGTCAACACACATAACAGTTGTGACGCATTGCTTTAGATCGTTTACACTTAAAGGAAGTGAAGGAACAAAAACTCTGTCTTTGATATATCCCCATAAGAAAAAATCAGTGGGAGTCAGATCGGAATTCTTCACGGTCAACTTGTCAGTGCCATGCTCTGATCTGTTGAGCGGTGTTCAGAACAAAGCGGGTTATTGTATTGATATCTGCCTTGTGACAAAAGTCTCACACATAGAAAATTTGTAACTTAGTCATACAAACTTAAGGATATACAGTAGAACTTGGTTATAACGTCATCAAAGGGACCTAAAAATAGTGTCGTAACCGAAATGGGCACTTCCACAGTAGCCTTATGTTAGTCACGTAAAAATCTACCAAAAACCGAGTTAAAATGTTGCATTTTTTAGTGAAATACGTAGTTAAGTACAGACTAACGTAACATTAACGTGGAATTGCCCAAATGTGTAATATCAAAGACATATTACAGCGCTTTTCACTGACAATACACACCGCACTAATACTGTATATTAAAGGTAGGCCTACTCACCAAATTACAGTAGATTACATCAATTGTTGTGCCTTACTGTACCTAGATACGAGTACAGTAATCAATTATCTTCATCTGTTTCCTGTTACTTGCCCAATACACACTTTCTAAATTACGTTCAATGTACATATCAGAGAAATTCAGGAATGAAAATGACGTTACATACGAGGTTGATGCATTTGTGCATGTCGTACTAACCAAGGTATAAAAACAGTTGCTTTATGAGGAATTAGTTCGTACCATTGAATATTTGACGCAATAGACAAGGTGTCACAGAAACCGATGTTGCTATAACCAAGTTTTACTGTATATACTAAATTCCATATAAGTATTTTGGCTATATCAATAGTACTTTGGTTGCTACAAAACATTGGAAGTGTCTATTTCTTTTATACTAACACTGTATTTTGCTTTACGACCAACAAAACCTGAAGTGTGAAAAATTCATCCAGATCCAAGAGACAAAACAGCTTCCAAATTCCATCCCAAACCCTGAAATGGCAGCAACTAAACCCACACAATGCATTATTGAACAAACAGCATCGGTTTATGTTTTAATGAAACAATTAGAGTAGGTGTTACATGCCTGACAGCTGTATGTTTTCTGCAATCTGAAATATGGGTTCAGCATGTGGACTAATACTTATCCATAAATCACTGCACTAAGACTGTGAATGAGGTACCATTTTGCCATGACTGAATTACTCCTAAAGGAGAACAATTCTGATGCAGACATCTTTGGTCAATTTTGTTGTCTGTGGAGATTCCTGCATGGGTACTAGCAATGTGTGACATTGGGTGAAACGCTTCAAAGATGGCAATAAGGAGACTGTCAATCTTATTTTGCAGCAGTCAACCAACTGCCACCATGGAATGCAAGGAGCATAAAGCTGATGTGCTCATCACAGAAGATGGAAGGGTCATGGCTAGGTAAATCATAGTGCAGCTTGGCACTGGACACAAAGCCATGCAGGAGACACTTCTGTAGCTTCTTGTATGCATCTGTTTTGAACCATTTCATAGAAATATGCCCATTAGTTTTGGAGATACATTTTTCTGTATTTATTTATACTACTACCCAGCAAGAAATGACCTGCAGACCACAAGCTTCAGCATTCCATATATTCGGGATGTCTGGGTTATTGGACGCACAACTTATGGCACAACAGCCTGCAAACAGGCCAAGTTTCATTATAAGAACTTCAGCTGCCACCTAGCATTTGATAATTTGGCATAAAATGGCTTCTTACCAACTCTCTCTCCTGTTGTTAGTGAAATGTGAGCAGGAGTGGTAGATTCTGTCACCAGTTTAATATCATCAGAGCTATTCCAAGGCTGTTGCAGTAAGGGTGATTCTTACTGATATATTTTTTTATATACTAATTAGTACCTGCATATTTTATTCATGTTTCTAAAGGTCTTTCCCCTTTATTACTTTTGTTGGACAATGGCTGAATGAAACAAATGAGTGCCATGTAACACAAAAATTTAAGAAGAGCTTTTGCAGATGGTGAGTAAATGCCAGTAATGATGGCATTCCCAGAAGGATAACAGGAAATAACATGTCATTTAGAGTTTTTGCCAAAAGGAACCAGAACATCTACTGTCTTGGCATTATCGGAAAAAATAACTATGGCAGAATTTACAGGCTTGCAGAAACTGTTGTACCTTTAAGAAGCAAAATTTTCAAAGAAAGAATGGATCACTACTGCAAAATGGAGTTCAATATTTTAGAAAAGTATTATTCATAATGAAAATTAACGTAGTTATTCCCAATAAAAGTAATACAGTATATTAATGTAATTTCAAAATACTGCACACAATGATTTTTGAGTTCCTTGCCATCATTCATATACAGAGTGTTTCACGACTTTAGGGCATATCTGCAGGAGGTGATTTCCTAGGTCTTTGTGATCAAAAAAGTTCATATAAACAAACATGTGTCCAATTTTGGATGGTTACGGAGTTATGACCCTTTTAAACTCAAAATAGAAGGTAACGATTACTGACAATAAACGGAACACAATAATAAACCAACATGATACATTTAAAGTATGAATGTAAAGTTAACTTCATGAAATTACCTTTAATTTGAATTGATCGGTGCTTAAAGCTGATTTTCGAAAATGCCACCGCCGGCCGGAACACAGGCTGCCATTCGGTTGTGAACCACGCCGGACATCCCCCCCCCCCGCCNGTAGCTCTCATGTGTCGAGATAACGAGAACGCTCTGTCTGTAGCTGGCTAAAGATAGCGACCCGCCAGCTGACAGGTGCGGTTCATATGAGGGCGTGTATGGGGGTGAAAAACGGTCATAACTCCGTAACCATCCAAAATTGGACATGTTTATATGAACTTTTTTGATCACAAAGACCTAGGAAATCACCTCCTACAGTTATGCCCTAAAGTCGTGAAACACCCTGTATACACCCTACTGCCATCTAGTGAGAAAAATATTAATCTAGTATATCTGAATTTCTCATAGGCCCATGAATGCCAGTAGTATGCTGGAAATACTGACGATGTATGGTCTAAATCACTAATGGTGCACCCTGGTTCATGAGGCAGTAAAAAAATATGGAGATCATAAACACATTTCAAAATGTTAAGAAACAGAAACACTGTGCCAACACCTATCTTCTAATTTGCCTCAGAACTGTCAGATAGTGGAAATATAATGTAATGGAGATTATGGGTTAGAAATAGTTCATTAAGCCATGTAATTAACAACATGTTCTGCTATGACCATACACAAATGGAAGCATTTAATGGTAATTATGGTCCTTAGTTTTTTCATATCTTTCTGTTTCACTGTACACAGGTAGAGGCCATAAGAATGTGCTCTAATATCCTCCCTACACCATGAGACATCAGTACTGCAAAGTATAACTTTGTCAATTTAGACTTCAATTTTTATAAATGTTTCCAGTGCATTTCTATTCAAAAATTTAAAATGGCTTAAATTACTCTAAAATGAGGTATGGGTTTCATGTAAACATTTTGTGGATGTGCAGGTGCCCTGTAATACATTCATGACATCACAACCATGGCTGTGACAACATGGTGACTCTAGGTACATAGGTCTGCGTCTAATTAAAATCACAAACATCAAGAAACCAAAATATTAATGTTAATATCCCTATGTATATATGAACCCATGAATTCTTACCTTTGTGCAGTAAAACATTCTAAGTACTGTATATTCAAATAACTTACACCATAAGCCATGACTTTTCTTTTATTACAATAGACACAACTTTGACAAATTTTTCATAGAATGTAACAACAAGGCAACATTCCTTTGGGACTCTCCATGACTGCGAAGCAATGCCAGCACCTGACACCAGTAAGTTGCAACACCTGAATAAAGAATAAGTATTTAAATTAGCATGCACATCGCCATAAATGACAGATTAGGTGGGTTTTAAAATTTGCATACCAGTCCTACCAATCCAGCCATCTACAGATATATTAGTAACAGAAATACATACATTTTAACTTGTTTTTTCAGTGGGATGTTTTCGAAGCATGCGCTTAGGTAGAAAAACTGGATGCTCCTTTCATAAGCTACTCTGATCCATTGTGTGTAACTTTACTTCACAGAAGCACTGTACTCATTGTACTTACACATTTTCCCAGCAAATCTGCATTCAGTAACAAATTATGTTAGTTTATTTTACTATGTCATGTCTGTCACTGTTCTAGTAAGCACAAATAAAACAGTTCTCCAACATCTTTCACAGATCACAATGTGATCTCAATGCAAAGAATTCAAGAGAGAGTTAGTAAATAGGTCACATGTGGATATAAAATGTAAAACGTAATGGCCAAACCTGAAAAAAATCATTTATTTCTGAACATATTCTCCACCAAATCTGATACACTTGTCCCATCACTTTACCAGTGCATCAAAACCCACAGCACAGAA